ATACCTAAAAAAAAATATCATTATATGCGGTATAATATGCAGTAAAAATTTGGAAAATATGTAATTTATTGAATAAAATACAATTTATATGTTTTAGGTTAATATGAATAAAATGAACGGAAAATTAAAAAAAGAATAAATACTGCATAATTAGCTTCCTGCTATACAAGCTATACAATCTTCATCAAACTTAATCTTTTTGAGTACATACTAAAAAGTAGAATTGATTAATGTTTAAACAATTGAAGATAGATTATTTTTATATCTATATTATAGAAACAATAGTGTGTATAAATACTGATAACGAACACTTTATAGTATATGGTTCATAAGAGTCGTCGATTCAAACTGGCATTTTAAATCAGAAATTGTTTCTAAATATTTTTCCGCTGAAATACTATTGTGTTTTGACATACGCGAGATTAAAATAATGAGTATCGGCTTAAGAACCCCTGGCTTATACTATAGTCCAAAATGCGAGTAAATACAACTGCAGTGAGCCGGGTGCATAAAATAGTATAACGCGCACCCAGACACCAAATTAATTCTTACGTGAATCTTATGTCCACCGACCGACAGATGTGTGTATGCGCAGCTCAGTCAGAGTGGTCAGGAACACAACGTGAACTAGATGATGCGTAGATGACTAATAAATAATAATCGTGTATCAATAGCGTGAAAATAAAAATAAAAAATAATTGAACAACATTAACAGTTACCTAAGTAATAAAAATCACATTTTGAAAGACTTATGGTGATTAAATATGGAAATATTCACGACGATTTATGCAAGCGTATTAATGATTAAATTATAAATTAAAATTCACAAACAACTATGACGATTACGCATGAAATATTTTTAAAAAGAAATAAAAAAAAATCCAAAAATTACGATTAGCAAACATATAAGAATGGTTGCTTGTTCACTACTGTAGTTCAAATTATAATTCACATACACAAATATTGAAATTCATCTATAATTATGCGTGCGCACAATGCGCATTATGTGCGCGCACGCGTGCGGGTGTGTGTGTGTGTGTATCGTGTGTGTTAGGTGGTGGTATAAACATCGACCATTAGAATTTGGTAGTAAAAAAAAGTATATAATGTTGCTACGACAGTGACAATGACACTCCTTTGAGTTATATAAAACTAATTGTTTCTTATAATGTTTGAGTAACGCATTTTTTAGTTCAAATAATAATAAACGATGTATTATATTAGAATAATGGGTATGCTTCCCAGATAGTGCCCAGACACACTCTCTATTTTAATCATACTAATATAGACATTTATAGAAATATCTATTTGGGTATCTATTCTATTAGGTATCTTCCTCATTAATAATAATCGTGATAATATGTATACAATGTTCATTTTAAATTAATTACTTGATAAATTATCTATCATTCCAGATTTCATTTATTTTATATTTTATTTATTTTTGTTACTTTTGTTGTTTGTATCATATTTGTATTTATGTAATAGATTATTCAATTCAATATGTAAGCTACCGACAGGCACGGATCTAGAAATTAAAAAAAGGGGGGAGGGCTAGAAGAGTGAGTTACTGCAATTATCCGTTGCGTATGACGATTTGTACGAAATCTTACGTCTAAATTTTTTAAATATTTTAAGTACCTATGGCCGATATGGTTCTACTAAATGTCTAAGGGAGGGAATTCAACCTCTATAGCCTTCCCCCTTGTATCCGCGCCTGGCTACAGATTTTTTTTTGTAAGACGTATACATTTTTATTTTTATTTTCTACACTGACCAAATACCAATAACATCAAAGTCCTCATTATTACAAACAAATACAATAAACAAACAATACAAATATGACCAAGTACAAATATCGTGATAAATTATATTACTAATAGCTATGCGTGGTGGTTAATATTTTTTTTAAAGATATAAAAATTAAAAACTACTAATGGAAGTAATATGAATTTATAAAGGTGACTTATTTTTTTTTTATTACCGAAACACCTAGATATGTTGTTAATTTTTTTTGAAGTAATTTTGTACCGAAAAATTTAGTTATCGTAAGGCGAAATTCTTACTTATTGGGATTATGACACATCCTTAGAGATGGACTTCGAGCCTATACCCCCCCTCCCCACTTAGCTAGTAATTAACTTATTGAAGGCCGTGATTGCCCTTGATAGAAGTATATAGAAATTCAGATAAAGATTTAGTATTTTGTTGATAATACGGTGAATACGATAAAGATAAAATCACCGGTTGTCAATAACCTATTTATTATACATTTAACTGCAAAGGCTCTAGTCACTGCGAGGCCATGTGCCACACGTGATTTGCGAGGCCTCTACTACCATATGGGTATTCATTTTTTTTTTAATTAGGTGCAAAATTATCCATTTTTAATTAATTAATTAATTTTAGAGAAGATTTTCATCATTACCGCTGTTTAACGACAATAAATTGCATATACAACCTATAATGTATCAGTTTTTTTGTTTTATTAAAGAGCGGTTTGTTTTTTTGTGTATATAATTAATTAATTTAAATAAAATACCTGTCAGGATGTTTGAACAATTTATATATAAAACAAAAAGTTAAATAGATTTAGAATAAAATATAATATTAGCACAAGGTACAGTATGAATCTGTATTTATATTACAGTTATGGTTACATATGCTTTAAAACTCTTCTGCTTTTTTTTCTGACCGAAGTGTCTTCAATCAAATTCTCAAAAGATGTAACAAAAGCGTTATCACCTTATAATACAAATGGAAATTACCATTTTCTTTATTTTCTTATGAATAAAAAATGTTTGGTTTAAGAATTATTTAGAAAATTATTTGATATGTATATGACTCTCAAGAAAATAAAACAAAGTGCTCTCAAGAAGCACAAATTCATTATAAAAATATTTTAAATTATGAGTGAAGCGAAGGATCTTATGATTTTACAATGATGTTGATTATTTTTTTTTTCTGTGAACACTTTTTCGTATAGAAATCATGGCCCAAATAATTTCGTTAAGCAACTAAAAAGATTCAAAATTAAACTGAGGTGGTATTTTAATAAAGTCATTTTTTGAAAATCTCAATACTCTTTCCAGGAATTATGAAAAATCTGCCATAAAAAAAATTTTTACTCTATAAATTTTAGTTATTTAGTCATAATTCTAAAAGTATTGGGACTAGAAACTTGAAAATTTTATCCTATATTAAAGACTTATTTCTTTGTGTTGGACATATTTTCAAAATAATTTGAGTACATTTATCCTAAATATAGAAATTTAAAATCATCCAACTTTATGAAAGATTTTATGTAATACAATTTGTAATATCTGATAAAAAGTTCTGAAAATTGTATGACTTTACTCATATAATTCATATACTCATATATTACCTAACAATCCTTGAAAAATTTAAAAAACCAATTTTCAGGAGTTTTAATTAATTAATATAAATTCGTATATGAAAATCTACTGTTTTAGTGACAATTTTCAACTTTAAATGTGTTAAAATGTTTTTTGGGGGATAAGATCATTATGGAAATTGGAGCACAGATATAAAATATGTTTTGAATCTTTTGGCAAAGGAAATTTTGATCGTGTTAAGAATTAAATATTTTATGAGGGTTTAATTACAAAAAACCTTACCAAATATTAGACTGAGGCTTTGCTCAGAATCGTTTAATACTAATGAAATTAATTATTATTTCTTTAAAACTCAATATATTCATGTGTTTAATAAAAAAGAAAACAATTATCAGACAGGTATCCGAAAATATCTATCTAAAATTATCAAAATATTATAATCGTTCAAAATAGCGTAAAATCGCGACCACCCCGCCCTATCGCTCCCAGTCATTCCTACTACAACAGATACGAGCCGGGTAATCGAAATCCCAAACTTTGCTGTCAATATATTAAATACCTATAAGACCTAAATTTCCTTATTAATTTATAATGTGTTTAATAATATAATACAAAGTATATTATATTTAAAGTAAAAAATAAAAACCTATGTTATTACACGGCTTATAGACATTATGAATTAAATAAATTGTATTTTTTTCCTTTTTGAGCGGTCATGCAGCACTTCCTGGCTTGCCCTAACCACACGCCACTTTAACTAAAACTAATAGCTTCCTCCCTTTAGCTCAGAATCTATAACACATTTTTAGGAATGTCAAAATTGATACAAAATGATTTAATTTCATATATTTCTGAATAAGTATAGAATTAAATTAAAAAGGAAATTAAGAGGTACATGTATTATTCTATTTGGTGGTTCTACTTCCAATTGATGATACTACACACTTTTACCATAATTTTATATTTTAAATTTTGATAATAATCAATTACTATAAATAATTGCTTGGAAAATATAAGCAATTAATACTAAATTAAATATTTATTTGTCCACATTAAATATACATAGTCCGACACGGACGACCGACACGTTCCGCACCGTCAAAACATTCTTCCGGATTATGTTTTGTCGGTCCGGTTCGCGTTGTAACGGTGGGGTGCGGTCGCATCGATCTGAATTATCTCATATAAACCAATAATATAATGTTTCGTTGTGCCTGTACGTGCTGTAACGGTCCATGCTTTGCCGTGACGGTGTGAATCGGGCTTTACTCGTATGACATAAGCAGGTACGAAGAACGTTCGACGAGTAAATGAAAAACAACAAAAGTGAATCGTCTAAATTCGTCCGACAGAGGGAGGCGATCGTTCCTGTTGTGTTAATCTCTATCGATCCTTTTATTACAACTCGACGTTTTACTCGTAATTTGTCGTCTTTCCTTCCCAAACCACACAGCAACGTCTTTTGCAGACCATACATTTAAAACTGTCATTGCCGCGGTGTACTGAAAACAACTCGTGCTCGCAAACCGCACCCACCAGCTACCATCTCTATGCCTTCTTCACTATAATCCCTACCACTATTTAATACCTTAGCTGTATTTCTGTACCGACGCGGCACCAACGTCAATCACCGCTTGCTGAGCACCGGACGCCGACTTACGAACTTCGGTCTTCTGCCCTCGCACCCGAGCATCAACACGTTCAGATCGCACAGCCCTGAAAAGGTATCGTGTTTATTGTATTTTATATTCGTATTCGTCTTGCCGTCGATTTGAATACGATGGCGATTGAAAAACGATTTATACGTTTTAATTTGATTTTTTTTTTTATAAATTCGGGATTAGTTTATTTTCTTTGGATTCAGTTGTGAATGAGACTTTGGAAGTATATATGTTTCCTATACCGCAATGATAAATACAAACGTAATGTCTAATTGTACTGATCAATGTTGCCTTTACGAGCAAATAATGTAACATAAATTAATTTATGATATTATGATTATGACCATAGGTTTAGTTAAACTGGTGTACGATAATTACTTATAACTTTATAAATAGAAGAAAAGTCTCATATTTAATAAATAATAATACCACCGGCATAAGTTAAATTGGGTTTAAAACAGCGTCTAAGAAAAATATGTCTTACAACTTGTCAACAATTATACTCGTGCAATATTTTGTTTGTTTTAACAACTGTATTTGTCAACATAATTTTACAATACCATTTACACAAAATTCATACAATATGTTTTAAAAAGAAATTAAATTTCATTTTTATGAATTTTGACCAACTATTGACATATAATCGTTGAATACTGATTTATATACTTAAAATTTATAAATGTACCAAATTAATTTTTTTCTTCAATTATTTATAACAGAGATATAAATATGGCTAAAAATCTAAGAATACTAGTTAAATATAAATTATAAAAAAAAAAAAATTAATTGAGAGATGTTATCAATTAGTTTTTACATTAACTGCTATAATTTATAAGATGCTTTTTATTATAAATACGTAAACATATGTTACATAAGTAATTACTAGAATAGAAATGTGTTTCATTATTCAAAGAATTCAAATAATCAATTTAATTTTGCTTATTTTTGTATATTTGCTCGATTTTTACTTGTTTGATCGTATTTTTACAATCGCCAAGCTTTTAGTGCATATTTGAGGTTTTTCGTAATATATTACGTCCAGGGCCGTATTTATGCCTAGGCCCGTGAGGTCCGGGCTTAGGGCGGCAAATTTAGTAAGAAATAAAAAAAAAAAATCATATTAATATTTTATGCATTTATGTAACTGCATAAATTAATATTATATAATATTTAATAGTAATATAAATAATATTTAATATTATAATATAGATCAGTGTTTCCCAACTTATTTTACCCGCGGAACCTTTGCAAGAGCTTGAACGTTTTATGGAACCCCAATATTTTTTCTATAATTTTAATACAGGCAAGTGTTAGGTATACTTAAATGAGTGGGTTATCGGACACTTCCGGCATAAGAGTGTCATTAATATAAAAAAAAAAAATGGACGGCTTTAACATTTTATTTTGTTTATTACAATTATAATATTATAAATGTAATATTAAAGCTTAAAATTTAATATTTGTCTCCCATTACCTCTAAGATAGATTCAATGAAAAGATTGAAATATTTTCATAGTTTTTTCATAATTGTTTTTAAATCTGGAGTTATTCCTGAAAGTGAGATTCGTAAGTCCGAAGCTGCGTTCAGTTGATTTCGAAACTTATTCTTTGTCTTTGTATACGCTGAAAAGCTACAAACTATGCACCTCATATTGGGAAATGTGTCAATTCCAGTTCTATGTTGAGTTATATGTTCAAATCATAGTCCAAATCAAAATATTGCTAATTAATTTATATTTTCTTAAATTTCTCACGGAACCCCTCGCGTAAGCTCACGGAACCCTTAGGTTCCGCGGAACACTAGTTGGGAAACACTGGTATAGATATCTGTGTATAAAATATACGGGCGCATGACACTGAAAATGTCAATAACACGAAATCTTTTTTCTTTTAATGTGAGCTATAAAGATAAGATACCTAGGTACATAATGTAAGTTGCTCCTAAAAGTAATTACGATACTAATATAGTATATATAGAAGTTGACTAGAGATATTGTGTATCTATATCGCACACGACGAATTAGAATTGATAATTATTAGTTTTGTTTATAATGACTATTGACCTAATTTCTTTAAAATTTAATAAATTTATTAGAAATAATTACAATATTTTTTTTTCTTGAGGTAGAGGCGGCATATTTTAAAGGGCCTAGGGCGGCACTTGTTCTAAATCTGGTCCTGATTACGTCAAATATTCCTGACCAATAATGTATGACAATTATTTTTACAAAACGGTAAAAACCTACAGACATGAGACTTGACATGGGTGTAGTATGCATGGGACTGTGGGAGCTGTAGCCTTTATAAAAATTTCTGTAGCCCTTTATTTTATTTAAAATTAAAAAAATTCTAGTCCTAAATATTTTTATATTTTTTCCTAAAATTCATCGAGCTTTAAATATTAGCAGTCTATAGTGTATGGACAATTATTGCACTAACATACTTATTTTTATCACAAACATGTTTATTTATAGATCAACGTCGTATTAATTTTTTAGATTAACCATATGTGATCGTTGAGCTATGCATTGTCGTGTTGTCTGATGATATTATAACGATAACGGATAATAATTTGTATGGAACATAATAATAATTTATCTATCGGTATTTTAATATTTAAATGACTCATTTCTGCTAGACTTAGGGAACTTGGAAACAGGACCAACTCAAACTAAACTAAACATAAATACTTACTAGAGGTGGGCAAAAAACAGATGTTTTTAAAACATTGAGGTTTTATGTTCGATAAATCGATGTTTAGTTAGTCTTTATGTTATGTGTTTAGTTTATGTTAGTCTTCGATATATCGAAGAAAACATCAATGTTTTGAAATTTTTTATATTAGTTTTTCCTTAAAATTATTTGTACTAAAATTTTGCCTCGCACCAAAATTTGTCAGTTGTCACAAATGTTGATATGTTTATTCAGTGAATTTTTAAACTTGTTAAATAGGCGACACAAATATTGCTCAGTGACAATGTATTTTCGCTTAGTTGATAGCGTGGGCAAAACACAATTAACTGTTAAAAGAAGATATTTTTTTAAGTATTGTAAAATAAAATGTCAGGTAAAGAATGAAACACCTATAAATTGTTTTTTCTATGAAATGTTCTCTTTCACTTTAATTCAAAGCAAAGATAAGGTGTTTTTGGAATACATTTTTCTAGTCCTATGATATAGTCCCCACAGATAATAATACCAAGCTATGTCCATGATACTTGATAGTAGTGTGTTCTATATATTTGGATCAATAAGTACCACGAATAAAGGGGCCCACACAATACGATTAAACACAACGGTTTTTATCGTCACGATAAAAACGGTCGGTCAGAACTGAAATGCGTGGGAAAAATCTGACGTTGAAACACGATGGTATTTATTTCTATCGTATTGGTTTTAAACACGACGGGTTTACTTGTTATCAATTAAATTGTGTAATGTGTGGGTTTTCCGATAAAAATCGACATGTTTATTGAACGAAAACCATCGTGTTTCGTCATAGTGTGTGGGCCCCTTAACGTAGGGTTGCCATAAACTAAGGCAAAGCCAGGACAAAACAAACAAATTATTGAGTATTATACTTTTTATATAACTTTTAATATATTAAGAGGACCAGTGGCGTATACAAAGGAGGGATGTGGGAATCAGATTCCCCTAGGCCTTTCTTTAAATATTATAAAATAATGTTCTTAGTGTGAGGGCGTTAAAAACGTAAAAAAAAATAATGATTTGTTTGCAAATAATCCCCCCCCCCCCCCCATACAAAAGTTATCTATACGTCACTGAAGAGGACCATTAATGGTCGGCAATATAATATATAAAAATCTTTTTGTAAAATAAAATTTATTATATGTGTAAATTACAAATTATGTTTTTATTATAAATTGTTAATCGATTACGATTAAAAATATATTTGAAATAAACTGGTCGAAATTAAAAATTAAACAATACTACATTTCCTCTAGACGTCTAAGCCGGGGCATATGGACATCTCGATAAAATTTTTCGGGACACCGAAACACGAAGTCTAAAACCGGTGACAATCCCGGTTTGTATGGGACGTATGGCAACCCTACCTAAACGTATTATTGCGATACCGTAACTTAATTTGTATTTATGCATATTATGAATACAGTCTGAGCATATTTTTATACATTTTTACCGCATAAATGCATGCATATTTTTCGATTTTTTAGAGCAGTGGTGGCCAAACTACGGCCCGCCATCATTTAATATATGGCCCGCGAAAGTATTCTACATTACAACACCTATTTGCATAACTGTAATATTTTACATTTACGTAAAAAAAAAAATTGAAAAATGCATTTTTTTATGGCCCGAGGTAAAAAAAAGTTAGGCCACCTCTGTTTTAGAGCATAAACATCCGTTTTCTAGTAATTACAATACATCGAATTCGAAAAATGATACCGAATAAAACTTTAATTAATGTATAACTAAAAATTATGCATTGATTTTGAATCAAATGTACTATAAATAATGTATTATAGAATATAGCCGATATTTAAACTATTAAGTAAATAAAAAGTATAAAGTATTAAGTTATAAATATAAAGTATAGTTATATATTTTTTTGGACCAAAATCAATTTTTGAAACTATTAAAATAAACAGACACTCGTTCACGAAATTATCTTTTGTCGTACTTTAAACTGTAATCGTTAATAGAAAAAAACGTTTTCATATTTTTAAGGTTAAGGAAAACGCTTTTGTTTTATTTTGTATTTTATTTGCAAGCAATAAACACAAATTGTCTTGCTTAAACAAATAGTGTGCATTAACAATATTACATATTTCATTAGTTACTTACAAAATTAGACAATAAAGCTGTTGATAGAAATAAAAATAAAATTACCATTAGGATGGAAATCGTCGTTGATAGATATAATAAAATGTGTCGGGTTGACGTTTATCAAAATTTAATTTTGTCAAAACTGCATTAGTCGAACTTACCTCATCTAAATTACCATTTTTTTTCTATATAATATATATATAAATGTTTTCTATAGCTCTCTCTCCAAAATGGCACGTGTCATAACTGTTTCAGTAGCTAGGTACAATATTTGTGTTTACCCGTAGTAAAAAACGGTATTTTGTTTCAAAAGAATACTATTTGATTTTTTGCATGAAAATGTATTTACTGTATGATTATTTCACTATAAATTCTTGGTTTACTCGGTCGCTTTTCCGTCAGTTACGAACAAAGCATATTTATAATATTCTTCTAAAAGATAATTTATCTACGGTGGAACATAAAATCAATATGAAAAGGTACAATTTTCTTTTGTCCAAGTCGCGTCCTGGTTTATACGTGTAATTGATATATATATAAACATATTCCTTTTCACTTTTATAGATTGAGGAATATTATTTGTATGAATAGTGTGTTTAAAAATTTAATATAATTTAGATATTATAAATTATTTTTTTTCTAAAGTGTATTTATTACAAATAAATTAATAGGTAAATAATATTATATCGTTTAGATTTTTTATTTTATAAAACGGGTTCTTTTTTTAACAATAATTTTTTAACAAAATTAAGAGGTGGTATATTTTTCGTTTTAAACCTAGTTATACTAGGTACTGTGATCCTAAAAGTTTGAGAACCACTGTATTAGACAATAGATATAGATACTTTTTGATATATATATAGATAATAAAATGATTACATACTACAATGTAAAAAGTTTAAAAAAAAAGTATGTAGTTAGTATTAGGCAGTATATATAGGTAGTATTTATAGGCAGTATTACTACATATCACCGATTTGTTATTATTTTCAACTGTTTGCCATAATATCGTGCAATTCCCTCTTGTTTAATCAAAGATAAGTTTAGGTACTTAATATAGTATTTTGCTAGTATTTGTTGTGAGCAAGCTCTTGAGTATATATTCTTATGACGTTAATTTTATCAACAATTCATAAATTTGATTAGCAACTGCAATTTTACCAACAAGTATTTGCAGTTTGCACTGTTGACTTTTTTCTATAATGTGTTCGTCATACATGAGTATTATTTTTAAATTTTTACAATAATGGGTAAAAAAAAAATTTGGGTATAGGAATATGCATAACTTAAAGGAAATAAAGCATTTTGTGATTTATGTGACGAAGTTAAAAATAGTAAATATAATAAAATATAAACAAAAATTATTCACATGTATACGTAAATATACGTATACACGTGACTAATATGTAATATATTAAATATAATGAATAATATTATATATATATATAATACAATAAATGAATAATTAGACGCGTATATGGATTTTTTAAGTACCTACACGGTTTTAGATTAACGAATCATTAATTTCACGTGAATACGTATATACGTGAAATAGGGAGAACTATTTGTTATGTTTGTCCACTATATAGTGAAAATTAATTATTAAAAATTACATGAATTAATATTTATTTAATTTTGTATCAAGTTTTGAAACAGAATATAATTTACAATTTTTTCATTTTGGTGTATAATTAAGTCATCTAATTAAGTAATATATTCATCAAATATTTCTAAAATTTGATTATGAGTTAATAAGACCAAATATTTGATGACACTCGTCGTTTCTTGGTCAGATAAACATAAGATAATTATACTAAACAATACTAGAGATACATTTTTGACTTAGTTTTCGTACTGACATTTAAAAGGCTCTCGTATCATTAATCATTATACGAAATAAAAATAAATATAATTGCTTCATTCTTTAAGATAATAGAGATTAACTTATTTTATGTATGTAGAATATCAATAATAAAAATAAAATATATGTATAGAACTCCAAATAGATGTTTAATTTAAAAACTATCATCAAAATAAACTAAAAGTAGATTTTCAAATAATAATTTTGATGATTTTAATAATTTTCTAAATTGGCTGATAAGTATTCTTATTCTTTTTTTCCAGCTTCATTGATTATCGATATAAAAGTCATACCAAGATAAAACATGTAAGTAATTATTACTAGAAAGATATTATTATTTACATTTTGAAATGTAAGTTTATTTAAAATTACATTATTCAGTTAATTCTTTAACGAAAAGCATATATTTTGAAGACATTCAACTGACATTGAAAAAAATATTAATTTAATTTTTATTTCAGTATAATAACTATTATTATGCTATTATGTTTCAGGAACGTAAAAATATTTTTGATTGTATTGATATTCCTTTGCGTCCCGATTATTGGTAAGGTCATTTTCAATACAAAAACTGGAGAATTTTTTGGTAATTATTTGTCGTATAAATGTAAACTGATTCATAAAAACATTATGACCTTTTTTCAGGACAATATTTTCAAGTAAATTAATTTTTACTATTTTTTATTTGTAAAAACAATATAATAATTATTAAATATTTGAATTTTAAATCTTTATATTTTATTATTTACGATCAGAAAATGTATAGTAAATTGATGGTCATGAAATGTATAAAAAATTATATCAGGGAATTTTTATAATTTAATATAATAAATATGTTTTGTCCTGTAGGTTGGGAAATACCTTACATATTTTGTGGAGATCATTTTACCCACGTCCTGGCCACTGTTTGCGGCAACAATCCATATAGTGGAATGCCAGGAGGTATCTATATTAAGTTTTTTTACTAAACATTATTTTATAGTATGAAGTACTATAAATATATTAGGCTGATGTAAAATGAAGTTATTTTCAATGGGTGCGACTCGTTTGCGCACATTTACCTTTTTTACGACACGATTGCGCACAAAATCACAAATCGTTTGCGCACACATACTTTAGGTTTAAATAATAAAGGTACAACTCGTTTGAGCATATTTCCTTTCTTTTGCTTTATTTTAATTAATTAATAGACTGTATAAAATAATAATATATATGCATATTGTATATATATATATATATAAAAAAAAAAAAAAAATATAAATTAAGATTTAACTGTTTTGCATTTCTAAGTATTTATTGTATAATTTAACATCGAGCTACCAGATATCGGCGAGAATAAGATATATATACAACAATATAATACAGATAAAAGTAATAATAACGTCAATGATTATACGCGTAAACAATATTGTCAATTATTAATTTAATATTACAAAAAATTAAAATATTTTAAAAAACATGCATTGTAGGTTTAATAAATAATAATAGTAGTCTATTAGTTATAAAATTATACTAATTTAGAATGGTGGCATTTAAGTCTGATTTTCTTTATATAAGTTAAACGATTAATAATATTATTTTTATATTCATTCCAAATGTTTTCCGATTGTATCTTCTTATTGATTATCTCTTTTCTTTTGAAATTTATGATTTTATTGTTTATCGAATTAATTTTTAAATGAGTGTCACTTTGAATTTCAATAATGACGTCGATTACTTGATGTATGTGCGGATGAGTAGTGTAAAACTGACTGTTATATTGTTTGTGATAACTCTCTGCACCATTAGTAGTCTTAGGATTATTAGTAGGTTTACAAGCCCATAATGTTGGAGGAAAATTGATGTCCAATGCAATGTAATTTTCTAAAATATAATCGAAAAATATAGAAATATTACTAGACGTAGTACTTGGTGCTATCGACATAAGATCACAAAATCCATCAGAAACTTCGTCAGGAGGTAAATAACTTAATCCAAAAAAAACATTTCATCCATTTGCCAACTTCTGAATCGTTGTTTAAGTACTCGCTCGATAATAATTTATGTTGTTGAATATGTCCAAGCCAATTTTGCCCTAAATGAAAGTTACAACACGTAATTTTGCAGTAAGGGAAAATTTGCAATACTGCATTATGCACAGATTTTTCAAAGTTGACATGAAAATTGCTTAAATTTATTATATTACCAGTAATTTGAATACATATATTTTGTAATGTTTTCCACATATTGATGTAAGTATCAGTATGTTTGTTACTTAAAAAACAAAACGCCACAAGAACATAAAAATTGTTTTTAAATACGTAAACAGTATAAAGTTGAACAAAATATTTCGGAGCGAATGAAAATGTCCCATCCCCAAAAACGTGTTCTGCACTTTGTAGCAATTCTAAATTTTGTTTACATGTAAATATAAATATATTTTCATCATCATTAACGAAAGAAAATTTATTACCTTTGTAAGTAAGATTATGCTGATCATCAACTAATTGTTTTTTATCATCTTCTAAAGATCTCGGTATGTTTGGAAAAGATTTTTTTCGTTTTTCATACATGGATCTTCGAATTAATTTCATATCGCTATATTGAACATGTTCGGAGTTATCATTGTTTTTCAATTCCCGGCGTATTAGTTTATTTGGTATAATATATAAATCCTCTTCAGCTCTACATTTCAATTTGCTTCTTACTTAGGGTTGCCATAAATTTATAAGGCGAAACAAACAAATTATTGAGTAATATACTTTTAATATATTGGGAGGACCAGTGACGTATACAAGGGGGGTTGTAGAGGTCAGTTTCCCTAGGCCTTTTTTTAAATGTTATAAAATAATGTTCTTAGTGTAAGAGTGTTAAAAAACGTAAAAAAAGAAAAATAATAATAAAATAAAAATTATGATTTGTTTGCAAATCATCACCCCCCCCCCTGCCATACAAAAGTTATGTATACGTCACTGAAGAAGACCATTAATGGCCGGCAATCATTGGCGTGCGCAAATTTTGTCCGCAGGGGGGGCCCTTAAAAAAAGTGAACCAAAGATTCTTGTACTAAATACAGTATAATTAAAAAATTTAAATTTTATAAATTATTTATTTTATTCAAAATACAAATATAAAAATAAATACTCTTTAAACTTACACAATTTATGTCTAAGAAATCCTTATTTACATATTATTATACTATTTACAACTCCATCCTTCTGTCAACGAGAGTAAGGTTTTTTGAATGCATGAATTACATCTTCAATTTTTATATTATATTCAAGTTTTGATTAGTCTGATTAATAACTAATAACTTTATTACATTTATTTACAGATATAAATTCTATACTATATAATTAAAACAGGCTTTACTTTATTCATGTAAAATGTAAAAATGTTCGCCATCTTGTATAATATAGATATGCACCTAAATAAGAAAAATCCGGAGTCCACAAGGGGGCCACGGCCCACCCGGTTACCCCCGTGCGTACGTGTCTATGCCGGCAATATAATATTTAAAAATCTTTTTGTAAAATAAAATATATTATATGTGTAAATTACAAATAATGTTTTTATTATATATTGTTAATCGATTACGATTAAAAATATACTTTGAAATAAACTGGTCGAAATTAAAAAAATAAACAATACTACATTTCCTTTAGACGTCTAAGCCGGGACATATGGACGTCCCGAAAACATTTTTCGGGACACCGGGACACGAAGTCCAAAACCAGTGACAATCCCGGTTTTCCGGGACGTATGGCAACCCTATTCTTACTACTTCTCGATGAATTGTTCGGTCGTCGTACTCGTCATGGGTATGCGTGTTTGTCATTTTTAAAATTTTATATGATCTTATATGACTTACGGAACATTTTTTATTTGTACACCTAAAATGTTTATCGCCAGATTTTAAAGTTCGGAATTCTCTAAATTTATAACTTTCTATGTTTAAACATTTTTTTTCTCGACGCGTTTCAAAAACATCACAAATTTCGATATCCGTAGTCAATACAGTTAGTAGTTATAGTACAGCTTTCTGGCGAACGATTGTTTAAAAGTATAACGCTTTAGTAATACACGACGATTATTTTAAATCATTATATATTGATATTGATATGCTGGTAATTTGTACTGATAATTTGTACCGATAATTCAATTACTTTAGGTAAGTTCAAATTTAAAAATATAAAATACATGTTACTTAGTGATTATGTTGTGCGCAAAAGAGTCGTCCGTTTACAGGTAAACGACTGATTTTGTTGTGCGCAAACGAGTCATCGATATCTAGGTAAAAAATTTAAATTGTGCGTAAACAAGTTGCACCGATTTTCAATACATGAATTTACCTATATCAAATAAAATATATTCAATTATGTACATGGTAATTGATGGTAATCCAAAAAAATATTAAGAAAATTCTAATGAGCTTTTATGGATGTACTGCAATAATATTCACTAAAAATTAAGTAATTTATTAATAAGATTAAATAAATAAGTTAGTAAGGTATAGTTTAAAAAGAAAAATTTAAATATAATGATATACGAACTCTAATTCTTATATAGTACAAGTATAATATGTGAATTATTTGTTTACTAATAATAAATAGAAAAGAAAATACTTAAAAATTAATTGCATTCATGCTTAGTGTCTTGTAACTACAGTAAAATTTATAAATTTTATTATAACTTGCATATTCAACTAAAATTGGTCTATATTTCAAGTTCAAGGTTTGAAATCAACAATAAAAGACCTTGCTATGGAATGTTGCGATCAATCATGTACTATGAACTACCTGAAACAATACTGTGTTACAAATTCAAGGTATTAAATTTAGCTTATTAATAATTATAATTTAGAAACACTGAAAAGTATATAATTTAGTATGTTAGTGTAGTCGTATGCTCAAATATTACTTTTTGACTGTATTTTGTACTTAAAATATGTTTTCTTTCGATAAAAATGAATTATTTACATTTTATTTTAATTTATTAAATTTAAAAAAAGGAATCATAATTAGTTACATTATTGATTAACTTAATTCCTGTAAACTTATGCAGCATGTGTTTGAGATAGAGAGCTATGTGTACTGCTAAATATAATAATTAAGAACATAAAATAAATATAAATATAATGGTTGTTAAATTTAAATACAAAAATCAAACAAAATCTAAAAACTTAAATTTAAAATAACAAAAAATTTTCTTAAAAGAGAAATGTTTTATATTATACAGAACAGTGTTAACAATACATATTTAAATACAATAACTCGCTGAATATATGTACAACAAACAATAAATAACAAACTTGAAACAAAATTGAGATAATCTATCGCAACTCATTATTTAATTCTAAAAATAAATATTTATATACCAAATATTTAATATTAGTGATTTTTTTTCCCATGTATCGATTTTTAAATTCGACAAGAATAGAATTGAAAAAATTCTGATCCAAATAATTCACATAACATCGAGTCTGAAGCTCATTTATATGAATTTTAAGGCCGTTTGCATAAAACAGTAAAAAATATAATGAGTTATTAGTGTATGAGTTATTCATTGCTTTTGTTTAGGAATGAGTTGAAAGAAATTTTAGTTCACCTACAAAGTATATCACCCAAATATTAACGTTCAATAATTCTACAATAGACTATAATACAAACGAGATACTTGTAGGGGTACATACGTACATTGACCATTCTGTATGACAATTAGAATATAAATATAGATACTTATTGGTTGTTTACTGATATTATATTGTATATACAATTGAGTTTTATAAATTGTTAATGATTTTTTTTTTTTTTTTTGTAGCTTATCAATTCAAAAATTGAATTTGTAATGCAACGAACGCCTTTGATATATTCGTAATAAAAAAAATTAAAAACAATTAGTACACCTAACCAATTGTTTTTTTATCAATAATTAATTATAATAACTAACAATTTAAATTTAACTAATTTTTTTTAATCTAATCGTAAATATTTATAACTTAGGAATTTATCATAACATTTGATTTAAAAGTGAATCTAATTATGTATGTATTATAATAATGCGTTAATCTATATTTTGTAGTTTTTATACGTTCAAACCTATGCTAAATATTGCGTAAAATTTTATATTCATTATTCAACTAACATTTATATTTTATATTATAATTTAATTCAATAAATTCATAATTTACAGTTATCTACTGCGTTTATAACTAGATTATTAACCAAGACCTTAAACCACCAGTGTGTTGTGTTAGTTACTTTAAAAAAGTAATGAAATTGTATTGAAATTACCTTACTTTTCATTTAATCTTTTCAATGAAAAAAGTAATTAAGTTACTTACAAGTTACAATTGAAAAATACTGGCCGTCGTGGAACACCCAACAGATGTGAAATATTGAACCTATTTCGTATAGAAAATATGCATGAGAGGATAATCTATTAAAGAAAATAAATATAGTATAAATAAAAACAAAATATTTAGAATTTTTCAGAAAAATATTCTTTATTTCTAAAATATATATTCAATTAATACAAAAATTAAAAAAATCAAATATTACTCTTCAGAAATGTACACGTTAGGCTGGAATACAATATGAAAAATAAGTTTCGACTAATTCAAAGTGAAGTTGTTAAGAATTACAAAAATCTTTAAATTTTCAAAATCATACAACGGGATAAACTTAAACTTTTGTCAGTCGTTTAGGTTGTTTTGACGAAAATCGTATGCGTAATGGGGAGCGCATTCGATGTGGAACGCACAATCCAACATAATACGATTAAAATCAAATGGTCATGATTTTCGATAGTTACGGTCAGTGGCTAAACACGAGTATTTAAGTTGGGGAGATATTAAAATAATACGTTACACCCTCCCCCCATTTATAACTTTATATGTATTTATGATAAAAGGGACACCGTCTTTTATTTTTTATTTCATATTTTTTTTTCATATGAGTAGTTTACTATTTCATCATTCAACATTTCATTAATTAAATCATCAGAAATAGTGGCGAATGACAATAGTACAATATTTGAATATTTATATACGAATATCACGCCAGAAATAAATAAATCGTAAAATAAAAACCATCCAATAACTACGATAAAAAAAATTGCGTTGAACGATAACGCATCAACGCGAAAAGCAATGACGATTACAATAATGTATATTAAAATGAAATAATAAATACGAACGATAGACATGTCTCATAGCGCAATGATAATTCCCACTCAATAACCTATTCCCCCTGCACACAGTGCCTTGAAAAACGAGACGCTGCTACGCATCGTCTCATATTAATTTTTATATCTGTATTTGAATGTTTATAGAATTAACCACTACGCCACAACGGACGACAGCTCGCGTGCACGGTCCGCAACTAATCTATTTTAAGAATACTAATACGATATGGCACAAAAATAAAACTATGATAAATATTGAAGTATATATTATATAAAAATAAATAAAATATAATAAAACCAAATTATGTATCCGTATTAAAAGTGGGTAGATATTGTCTCATTGTCTCCTATGATGCTTCGTCACTGGTTACGGTGTTTATTATGGTGATAAACAGGGAACTCGTGTGAGTCACGTGAATTAATACAGTCGATATGCAAAACACAGTTTACAGAAATAATAGTTCATGATGCAAAGTCATTATTTTCCGATCGCAGAATACGTATATCGACCGTCTCAGTAGCGGTGCGTGTCCGACGTCCCCGCTACCGTTCCAGGTCCCCTTCTCGTGATGGATCGGAAACCGAGTGTCGTGATGACGGTTACGATCCGCGGTTTGGTGGTTGATTGGGAAATATAGACGCGGTCGTCAACGGCCGTTGTGATAAATTCCACCCCTAAAAAATTTCCGCCGGTGGCAACTTCTTCATCTGTCCCCCCCCCCCTTAACCCGGAAATGAATGCAAGATAAAATAAATGTAAGTAAAGTAGGTAAATGTGATTCACAAAAACTACGGGTAGTTACGACAATTATTTACTAGACTCAAAACAACGATCGTGTAATCGTACGACTTGTTCATCGCTAAATCATCGATTACTACAATCAACGGTAAAACGTTTACGTTCATAATATAATTTGTAATCCAGCACCTGTTTAATGTAGTTACTACGAAGAAGTGGGGTAGTACGTGGTGGTAACGGAGGTACGTCGTATCGGGCGAATACGGTTAGGTGGTGAGCGCAGACGGCAATTGTTTTGTCGGGTGTAATGGTGGCACTGCGGAGGCGAGCAGCCAATTCGGCGGTAGTACGATCGAAGTGAAGTGGCGGCGGAGAGGTGGTACGCGGTATCGGCGGTTGGTTTGTGCGTTGTCTCGATGGAAAGTTATGCACGACGTAATACCGCACGTACCGCGGACGCTTTTGTTAGGCCCGATGCACACTCACGTTGTTTTAACGCACGGCGCCGTTATATTCAATACACACACGGCACGAACGACGCGAGCGCCGTATATTTTGACGGTAGTATTCAGTATGAGATCGGCCATAAACAATGGAGGTTTATAATATAAAACGTAAAACGTTTGATTACCTTGTACGCAAAAACTATATTTTAAAGAAGACAACTAATAGACGATATTGGGTACACCCGTTTACGGAACTAAGATTCACGAGAGAGATATTTTATACGTCATTAGGAAACTTATATGAAAATCCCGATACATTTTGTAACTACCTTCGAATGAGTGCAAAACATTTGGCGAACCTGCCGTAAAGTTTTTTATGTAACATTCCATATTTCAGGATAATTTTTAATCACGCCAACCAACAGTTCAATATCAATTTCATCACCGTTTCGCTAGCCATGATTCTGTACAGCCGCGAACGTGTTTACGGAAATGAACGCAAACATTCATTACTCAGTACCAGTGCCGTCGTTAGCGAGCAAGCAACTTAGGCGATTGCCTAGGTCATCACACTTAAAATAAATTCAAGGCCCACTATTTGTCAAGTTAGAATAGTTAAGTATATTTAAGTTTAAGGAAATTGTACTGCATTTTCCTAAGACCTCTCAAAAGCTTGCGACGCCACTGCCCAATACAAAACTATGTACTGAGGACCGCATGAGCGTGAGCGGTGCCGCTGCGGCGCAATAATAACTTGTATGAAAATTAGCACGCGGACTGTCGTGCGTCGCCACAACAATGTTTGCATTATGTAAATTAACTAGGTATTCCATGCCACGCGTTAAAATAACACAAGTGTGCATCGGGCTTGTATAGAGCTGTGAAGCCCCGGCAGACCCTTCGTACTGGCCCGCAGTTTGCGATGGTTGCCGACAGGGGGCAGCGCATGACGGATCGTGATCGCGTCGTACACAATAAAGATGTCGGAGCGATTTCGGTACAAAAAACTGCCCCGCCGGTTTTTCAACCAACGCTCACGCGTTGTCGATTTCGTTGTGTTTTTCTATTCGGAAGAAAAAGACTTTTAGTAGACCGTCCTAAACAGGTTGTAATTTACGAATATAATAATGTTCCAAGCTAAGAATTTATTTATTTATTTATTTATTTATTTATTTATTTATTTATTTATTTATATCTATACATGGACTTGTTACTTTATTTATGTATTCATTATTATATGGTTTATTCTGTGTTTATATTAGTTAGTTACTTATCACTAGGGAACGGATTTATATGTAAATACATATTTTTATTAAAACGAGATATTTAAAATTTGATAAGAAATGTTCATGATTTAAATCATTCCTATTAATATGATGCTACTTTTATTTTACATATTTTTACATATTTTGGTATAATTACATATTTTTACATATTTCACTAATTTGTAAATATTTTTAAACATATTTTATTATTTCATCATTCATACGTCTTCTTCGTACAAAAATACAAAAAAATATTTCAAATTTAGATCCAGAACTTTTATCGCTATTAGAAAAGCTCAAAATATTATGCAAAATGAAACATTGAAAACAAATTTAATTTTCATCTTAGTGAATTTTAGTTTTATTGCACATACAATTACAAAATTAGAAACAAAAATATGTCCTTGAATGAAAGTATGCAAATTGTCGAATCAACGATTGCAAAATGAAAACTCGTAAACGGACCAATAGGAGAAGTAGTAAAAAAGAAAATTCATGTTTTTACAGAAAAAATTTCAGGCCATATTGATTTTAAATCAATTAATGACATAATTAGTGGCAGACACCCTTCTAAAAATTTGGAATTATCGCCTTCTAATATTATGCCCTTCAAATATGCTTAAATCAACCGATGTAGGTTGATGTGGAACGATCATTTAGCCGTTTTAAAAATATTTTCAGATTTAATAGGCGACATTTAATATTTGATAATTTAAAATATATTGTAATAATTCAATGCAACAAATCATTTTGATAATTTAATAATTATAATTTTTTTTTTTTAAATTTTTTTCCTACATATTTGGATGGTTTTAGTACATATTTTAAAAATTATACTTACATACATATGTACATATTTATGTATTTTTATTACATATAAATCCGTTCCCTACTTATCACTATTGAAAATTGATTGAGAAATACCACGTTCATATTGATACTAACGAGATACGCCGTGAATGTTGTATCACAGTGGAATATTTTTATTTTTCAAGCACTGATAATGAAAAACCGACCTTGAAATGTTCATATACCGCCCACAAATGATTTTTTTGGTACCAGGATCCCAAGGACCGTCGTGTCCGCTGATTCCGTCCAACCATTGTTGATGGATGGTGCGGTGACTCCCCTGCGTATACCACGGTTCAATCCGTTGTCATAATGCGTCTCGCGTAATTTGTTTTGTACTCGCGTTAGAGATCTGCACGGTCCGTTTTTTCCGGTCCTACACTTAAATTTACAAAATACCTCCACTCATGACCGTCTTTGA